GCACGAGATGGGGCGGCGATCGAAGCCGAGCTTCGCGCGAAGGCCATCGATCTCGAGGGCGAAATAACGGGGGCGCGCTCCCCGGGCCATTCCAAGGTGGCGCTCGGGGGTCTCGGCACTACGTCGCAGGAAGAGGGCGCGGCCACGTTGCTCGGGGTGCCCCGCTGCCCAAGCAGGGCCCCAGGCCCGGCAAAATGTGCGCCGGGTGCAGCTTCGCGGGGCCTCCGTTTGCAGAGCGCCCCCTGGTTTCTTTGCGCGACAGGGTTACCCAGAATGCGCGACTTCCAAGGCGCGCCTGGGATGGGCAGGCCGCCCGGGCAAAGGTTGATTTACTTTTGGAGAGCGGCTTTCCGAAGTCATTCGCGTTCTCCGAAGCAGCCCCAGCGGGGCATGGGGTCGGCCAAGAGCGCGTTGCGCATGGGCCGCGTCAGCGGCACCCATTACCCCGGTAAAGATACGGCGTTGTTCTCTCATGTCCGGGGGGAACTTCGAAGGCCATCTCGGGGAAGGGCGGAAGGGGTGCCGCCAAGCCGCCGAGCTGGATGAGATGTTCAACAAGTCCCAGGGGAAAACTGACCGGCAAGCTCAACTTGAGGAGCAATTTCAAAGACACGGAGGAGGGCAAGGGCAAGCGCGCTGACTCATCTGCGGGACAGCACCGGCCGAGCAGATAGAGGGGCGATAACGAATTTGATCATGCAAATGCGAATGATGCTTTTCAGGAGGTGTCTTTTTTATATTGTCATTGTATGATACAAAAACGTGCGCATGCACAACTGCGAAAGGCCGGTTCGAGGATTTGGAGAATTCGTTGACGTCAGCTGGGACATTCTCTGCCTGAGCGAGACCCGCGCTGCCGATGCAGATGCCGATGCGGACGGCGGCGGCAGGTTGATCGTAGAGTCGGCGGGCAAGAAGCATGCTGGCGCAGCTTTGCGCGCGCTCTTGCACGTCGCGGCCAGGGCGTGCTGAAACATCGGTCTCATTCCGGACGTGTCCTGGCCGTCGATAGGATGATTAATGAAATTATGTGCACCATCGCGGTTGCGCATTTGCCGCATGCTGGGCGTTCTTTGGAAGATCTCCCAAACGCATGCGACGCCGCGGAGGCGGAGGTGGCTATGTCGAGGCCAGGTGCAGGACTTCCTGCAGCTGGAGATTTCAGCAAGCAGTGCGACATAGGAAAAAGGGGAGCGCTGCTTCTGGAATTCCGTAGCGAACGCAGGCTGATTCCAGGGAGCGTCTACGACGCATTTTATGACAGTGCTTATGAACACTGGAAGTACTGTAGCTCCGGGTTACACACTGCACGACTTGCGCGTAGGATGTTCTTCCTGCCGCCCAGCCGACAAGTTCGACGTGGGGCCGGACCGCCTCGCAGTGAAAGCCGTCGTCTTGGTTTCCCAGGGGCGCGCGCGCGCGGCGACGTCGGCGTCGCCGGATATCCATTTGAAAACCGAGTCCCGGGCAAGATGATACACAGTGCGTTGATGGGGCTTGCGTCAGAAAGCATATTTGGCGCGCGGCCGGATCGGGCCTGAACATTCTTGATCGCGCCCTGACACGAGCGGCCGACGAGCGCAGTCGCCCTCGGGAACAGCACACGCGAAAATCACGGGGAGAAGAGGCGCCGCGGGAGATGCGCCGCAAACGACGACAAAACAAATGCAATTCGGAAAGGGCGCGGCCCCCCAAGCAGATCGGCCGAGGACATAGGAAAATGGCGCGGCAATGTTGCGGCAGTCGCGCGGAAAACCATCTTCAGAAATTCGAAGGCTCGACGAGCCTGCCGGGCGCGCGCGGACGCCCAGCGATGCCAATCGGGAGTTGCGCTGTAGCCAGCGGGGTTTCCAAGGCATCTTTGGGGGACGCGCTCGGCACTGGTCGCGCGCCCAGCCGCGAACGGAGGAGGCAAGACCCCGCGACAGATGGCCGCGCGACGTCCCTCCGTTTTCACTTGGCGAGCACCACCGCGCTGTCAAGAAAATGACGGAAGGCAAGTGCGCCGACTGGGGCGGCGCAATTTCGGCGATGATTCTGCGCGGCGCGCCTCTCTTGCGCGACGCCCCCCTGAAAGGATCAACGTCGTTGCTCTCTCCCGGGGTGATTGGGCCATCTTGGAGAGGCGCGACCCCCATCGAGCTGACCAAATCGGAGTCGAGATCCGGCCCCCAAACATGGAGACTATCAGCGACGCTTGCGACGAGGAATTTCCTCCAGCGGCTAATGTACCGGCTGCGCGGACACTCGCTTCGACTGCAGATTGGAGCGCGCGCGGTCGCTTCCACCTGAACAAGAAGACGTCTGTTAACAATGCCATTATCATGGCGCCTTCGGTTAAACTTGTTCGAACGTGCGATCTCACCCCCACGGCTGCGCACGGCGTTGATACTCTGATCACGACCAGCAGACATCGCTCGCGGCCGGCAGCCGCTCGGGAGAAGTTGCTTCGGAGAGTGGCGGGATTCTCGAAAATGAAGTGCGAGAGTTGGGGGGATTGGGGCTGGCGCTTCGAGCGCATGCCGGAGCGAGTAATGAGTATACTGTATTGGTTGTTTATGAATGGACGGAAGTAGCTGCTGGAGCTCGATGGCGGTTCACGTCGCGCCCGTGCGTTCCTGGCTCGCGGCCCGCAATCATCGCGCGATGGATGCCCGACGGCCCCAGGCGCGGGAAAGCGAGGTGGACTGATTCTGCCCGCCAGTTCACGTCGACGACCTGTTTTTTCCCCAGGGGGCACTGCGGCAAGGCAAGAATTCCCCAACAATGCTTTCGAGGAGAAGCATCTGCAGCTCATGACCAACAGCCGCGCTTAATTTTTGAAATCGTAGGAGGGGTGCGTTTGCTTTGCGTGCGCAGTGGTCGTTTTTAATGTCCGCCTCATTTATGGGGCGAGATGCTCCCAGAGCTGTTCGGTCCGACGTTGCGTTGTGTTGCCGTTCCCGTGGCTCCTGGGCCCGCCCCTCTCGCCCTTGCCCGCGCTTGCCCGACCTTCTGCATGAGCTCCGCGGCCATCTGCTCCGCTTGTTCACGCCTTTTCTGCCTCGGCCCTGCGCGCCTTGGCCTGCCCCAGCGCGCTCTTGCCATCGGCCTGGTACTGCTGCAGTTCCTACCTGAACTGCTGGCATGCAGCATTTGCCCCTTCGTTTCGTCGACCTCATCAAGCTCCAGCAGCAGGTCCTCTGGCACCTCGAAGCCCAGGAACTTCTCAGCCGCTGCCGCCCTCCTCAGGCCAGCAACCCGCCACTGCGCTGAACTCCTGGAGGTGGGCTGCGTCGGCCTTTTTGAGCTCTTCTTTCGTGGCCGCGTAGGCTTCCGCCGCAGCGCCCAGCTCGGCCTCCACCTCCTTTAAATGCTGCCGCGCCTGCCGCGCTTTGGTCTCCTTCGCCACGAGCACCTGGTGCTCTGCGTCTTCTTGCCCTGACCAGCTTGCAGTTGGCGCAGGCATCCGACTTCGCCCCCGCTCGGGGTGCCAGTTGCGCTTTGGGCCCCGCAAGCTTGCGCAGCCTCTGCAAGGCCTGCATATGGTCGCCATTCTCCACCGCTTTAAGCGCCGCCTGCAACACTCCTGCTGGCAAGGCCACCGCGGGGTCCTCTTGCCCCCCCCATCGGCTTGCCGCCTCGGCTTCGCCCGCGGCGACGGGAGCCAAAGCCCCCTGGCCCATCTAGCCCACGGTGGCGCGTTGTCGACCATTACGTAAGCCCCGCACCTGCAGTACCCGTCGCTGTCGAGGAAGATGTCAGCCCACGTCCAGTCGAGGCAGGTCTTGCACACAGTGTATTTGCCCGCCTCTGTTGCCTTGCCATTGACCCTGGAGGGACCCGCGCCTTTTTGGCCTCCTCCACTGCCTCCTCCGCCCATCTTCGGTGCCTCAGAGCCGTGGTGGCTTTCCAGCAGGCTGGCGCACTCTGCCAGTTTCGCCTCGAGCCGCGCGCTGCTACGGCTTGCCAAGCCGAGATCCGCAAACGCGCCGCCTGTCTATTGCGTCGCGCGCGGTGATGCGCAGCCGCCTTGCGGTCGGCCGTCGCGCGCTAGTCCCAGCCCGCGCCCCCCTGGCCCCGAGCCGAAATTGCGACGGCGGCGGCGGCGGCGGCTACGACGACGACGACGACGACGACCGAGTGAGAGAGAACGCAGCGGGCGTACGGGGTGGAACAACTACTGCGGAAAAGCCCAGAGGGAGTCAAGGATCCCTTGGTGGCGAAAGAAGCCCGAGGGGGAGGAGAGAACGACCGAGAGAAGAAGCCTGGCCGATACCCCATAGTGAAACAAGACCGACGGAAGGCTGAGCAGATGATTGCTTTCCCACATGTCCCTCGGCGATAGCAGACTCGTACGTTCGTTCGCTCGTTCGTTTCCCCCATCGCCTCTCCCGCCGCTCGTGAAGATCACCGTGCTTTGACCGTGTCTCTGCCTGCCTCCTCGCCGATAATGGCAGAGATATAGTAGAACAAAACGTGTAAACATGTTATTTCGCTATGGGAAAGTGTCCCCCCCCTCCACCACGCGCGCGCGTGTGGCTCCTGCGCCACCCTCCACTAAGAGTCAATCTCGATCCGATCCGATATCGATTTCGCCCAGCTCGATCCGAATCGATTTCGATGTTTGTTGTTGTGCATCCTGGCGCCGCCGATTCGATTCGATTTCGACTCTGTGCGGATGCGGCCCGATTCGATGCACATTCCGATCCGATCCGATCTCCCGTTTCGATGTGATACCAAGATTCTCCACGCTGGCGGCGCCGATGCGTCGCCAACGTCGCCGATGCATCGCCGATGCGGCGCCGCTGCGGCGAGATCCTCCGACCCCACCTGCTCGGACCCCACGCAGGAGGCCTATACTCCTGCGGGCGTGGACGTGAGATGAATGTTTTCCCCCCTCTGATCGAGGGCAGCGGGGAGGACGGGTATATGGTTGGAGTTGAAGGTGGCGGCGTGGAGGGGAACTGGGGCTGGAGGCGGATACGGTGCTCCCCCCCTCCCACCGCCCGGGCATGCAGGGCGCGCCGGCGGCGGAGCCCAGCGGCGGCGCGCAGCCGCTGTCGGCCCAGGCGGCAGGCTGCAGGGCGCGCATCGCGGAGCTGGAGGCGCTGAAGGCCGGGGAGGGCGGGGGGAGACGCTCGTTCTGGGGACTTTTCTGGGGTCCACCTCGCGGATCTGCTCGACTCAAGCTTCCTGATTGAGTCCTCGCGTCTCGCGGTCTCTTGAGCCACTCGGGGCCTCCCGAGCCACCATCAGCATGAAAGGAAGCCGAGAATGCATCATCGGAGGCCCAGAGGTTGGCACCACCACCAATATCGGCCGTGGGCCTCCACCGAACTGCAGGGCCGTTGAACAAAAAGCGCCAGACCCAGACTTCCTCAGTCTTGAAGCAATCAAGACGGAACTTTCGTCGCTTTCGGTTTTTGGCGGAGGACCGTGACGAAACTACTCAGGATGAAAAGCTGGTCCGCGGGAGAGGGCCAGGACTTTCAGGGACCCCTTATGGAACAAATCAAGATGTCGGATCTGCCAGCCCCGCTGGGGATGGCTTGTTGCGTCGACGGCTGCTTTCGCACGGCGCGTTTCGCTCGCGGCTGGTTTCGCCCGCGGTTGGTTCCGTCGTCGAGGCCAGTGCCAACTAAACCAGCGCCGGCGAGACCAGTCCATTGTGCTGTACTTCGTGGAGCATCAGAGGGTCCCAAAATCTGGACAAACTCTGGACGAAAGAGTGAGGAGGGGTGGGCAAAATCTGGACGAAATGCAGTCGAAATCACATTTCTGGCATTGCCGCGGAGGTCCACCGAGGCTCCCACGCAGGCCCACCTGGGGTCCCATGCCCCCGTCGCTCCCCGAGGAAGCGCAGCTGAGGCGTGAGGACTACATGGGTGCGCACCAGACGAAACAGCTCATCCTGCAGCAGCAGCAGGCACTTCAGGGGCTCCGCCGTCAGCTGGACTCCATGGCGACGCCCGCCCGCAAGGGCCCGCGGGTCAGCGTCTCGTGCGGCCCGCGCAAGCGCGCCGTGGCGGCGGCCCCGCCGCCGCCCAGCATCGACGAGGTCGCCGAGAGTACAGCAGCGATGTGCCAGCCAGAGGAGCCGAAGGATTCTCATTTTGCCGCTGCTGCCGCTCTTCCTTCTGACTCCCACTCCTCAGGGGGAGGGCAGAAGCACCCGGGCCCCACAAGTGGCGTTTGCTGCACAGTCCTGGGCGTTCACTAGACAGACCTGCCCTGTTTTATTATTTCCTCGGGTGTGTTTCGACTTCAGGGCTCAAGGACCCCTCCTTGAGCCCTGAAGTCAAAGCGCACCCGACCGCACCGAGACGTCGGTCAGGGAGCAGACCTTGGCCCAGGGGCAGTGGGCGGGCCGACTCCCGTCCGCATCTAGAGGAGGAGATGGAGGAGGAGGAGGAGGAGGAGGAGGAGCAGCAGCAGCAGCAGCAGGAGGAGCGGGTGGTAGACGTGTGATCAGCGGGTGGAAGAGTTGCGGGGCGGGGCAGGAGGTGAAAGTGAAGAAGGAGTATGATGATGCTGATGATGATGATGCTGATGATGATGATGAGGAGGAGGAGGAGGAGGAGGAGGAGAACGATGAGGATAACAGAGGGGAAGTGGCAGGAGTATGAGCATGAGAGCAGGAGCAGTGTTCCGAGAGTTCCGAATATGCGAGCCACGTCAGATGGCTCCTCGCTCTCTGGCGAAAGTCGGGCTCAGTCACTCATGAGCCCGTCATCCGAGTCAGCTTGCAGCTAGGTCCTTTCCCATCTAGCCACTTCATCGGGCGAAACAAGATTGTGCAACTGTGAGACGCAGGCGGGTGGCATCAAAACCAGGGAGCGCAGCAGACGCTGAGCCTCCCCTCGAAAGTTTGCAGAGATCGCGCTCCCTGCTGGCGTCTGGAATTCGGCCATCCCCTTCGATCCTACAGCGTGGCTGTCTTGGGAGACACCAACAGAGGCAGCAGGAGACTCCAACAGCCGAGGCGCCGATGCCCACAATCAGCTCTCGTCGCCAGGGTCGGCCCGAACACTGCTCCCACTGGGGCTGCTCTTCGTTTGAGCCTAGGGAGGAGTTCTCTCCTGAGCTTGGAGCGTTGGGGGGTCTTGAGGCCTGGGTGCTCCGCTCCCTTGCACTGCCCTGCGAGACCACGCGCTGACTGATGGACGGAGGTCCCGCAAATCTTGCAGAAAAGGGGGAGGTTAGCCGAATCCCCTCCATCCTGCGACACGACTTGGGCCTGCACTAAAGAGTGCCCCCTGAACTTCCAGGAACTTCTGTGACCGAAACAAAACCGGCATCCTGAGGAAGAGGAGGAGGAGGAGGAGGAGGAGGATGCGGATCGTGAGGATGTGGCGCGGGTGGGTCGTGCCACCCAACACCTTCAGCCAAAGACTAGTCCCCGCAAGGAGCCTCCCCGTCCTGCTGACAAACTTGAGTTTGACCTAGAACAAGTCTGGGGTCTAAGTCGAGATACAAGCATTTGTACCAACTGGATATTCTGAATCAGGCTGCTCTAACTCTCCAACAACTTCCTGCGCTTGCGCATGCCGTCGGACAACACCCGCGACCATGCGTAGACACCATGAAACAACATCCATGCGATCCTGGAAAACCGTTCAAGGCCTCGCGCCATGTTTGGCCCACCTGTCGGCCATGGCGTTTCCCTTTCACGTCCACTCTTCGTGATCTGACACCGCCGAGCTCCGGGCTATGTGCACCGCAACTGTGTTTTGCATAGTGCTACATATGCCGCCGCCCTTCCCTTCAGCCCCGCTCTGCTCACTGCCCAACGCCCGCTGCAACCATGTTCTGCTCGGGCTGGCTTATTTCTGTACCTCAAGTCTCCCAACCCAGATCCTACCAGTAACATCCCTGTATCCTCCCCTTTCTCATACGCTCACGGCGAGCGCCTGACTCTGTTGCGTGCTGTACAACCAGGAGTTGGGCTTGGTGTGGGGAGCACGTGGTATCACATCATCACGATCAGTGGCATTCACAGTGGTAGCGGAGCCGGTGGGATCCACCGGTTCCCAGGAACGCTATGCCAGGCGAGGACGGTGGCGACGGTGAGGAGACTGGCCAGACCGTCGGCAAGGACAAGGACCCACCGCCCAGCTATGACGGTGTCAAGCCTGAGAGTACGTACAAGCTCTGAAAGAAGGAACTCAGGTTGTGGGTCACGACGGCGGACATTCCGAGGGCGAAGTGGGGTGCGAAGCTGACGCGCAGGCTGACCGGCAGCGCGAAGGAGGCCATCGCAGACATGGAGTTTGAGGAGATCACATCCGAGGACGAGCACGACAGGATCGCCCAGATCCTGGACGAGGCGTTCGCGCCGTACCTGGAGCAGACCATGCCGCGGGCGTTCGAGAAGGCGGTGTACACAGCCCACCGCAGGTTCAATGAGCTGAAACGTGGGGGGGGGGTGTCGTTACCAGCGGAGGCGCGTGGGTATGTCATGATGCGGCACGCGAAGCTCGGAGACAAGGGTGGGGACATGATCAAGACCTGGACCGCCGGCAGCTTCAGAGAGGAAGAGGTGATCAAAGCACTTCGATGGTTAGATAAGGTGACCACGGATAAGGGAGACCGCCAGTTTTTCGGTGACGACGGGTACATCGAGCAGACTGCGACCGAACACTTTCCGACAACCGAGGACAGCTACGAGCAGAACGGTGATGAGCACATCTGCGTGCATGAGGATGACGTGCGGGGGGCGCACGAGGAGGCCGACGTCACTACAGCGCTGGCGTCGTGCCAAGCGGTGCGTGAGTCGCTTCGCCAGGAGAAGAATCGCCGCGGGTTCCACAAGGGCGCCATGGGCGGCGGTAAGGACCAAGGCGGGCGGCGGCAACCAGTCTCCTCGCCCTGCGCTTGCGGCTAGTTTCGGCAACAGCGCGAAGTACGGGGGCGGACAGGGCAGAAAGGTCAGGGTGCACATCGACGTGATCAAGCTCCGTGCGAAGTGCGCGCGCTGCGGACAGGTGGGCCACAGGATGAAGGAATGATCCAACCCGCCAGATGTTCGCGGGGCCGCCGCCGCCGCACAGGACAAGGTCGGCTTCTTAGCAGGCGCCATGACGCGCAGCGAGGGCATCAGCCCGGCCAGCAAAGGGGAGTTCTTCGAGTGCGAGTCGAAGTACTTGCATCACGTCGATCCTCATCAAGACCCCGAAGCCTCAACGCAGCCTTGTCGGGGCCATCGCCTGGGGCGTCTCGGGGGCCAGCCAGCGCTGGCGCACGCGCTAGGAGTTCCTGGGGGTGAAGAGCGGGGGGAAGTGGATCTTGAGCGCATGCCGAGGTTTCAGGGGAAGCCGGGGCGCGGCCCTCTACGGGATCTCGGCCCCAAGGAGAAATGCGAAGCTGAAAGCGGGGAATCCGAGCCGCGGCGTGGGTTGTACCTCTGGGGCGGAGAGGCCCCGGTAGACGCCGCGGCCCAATCGGGTCTGATCGGGGCAAAAGCTCTTCAGCAACCAGCCTACGTGAACGGGCACTTCAGTTCAAGTGGGAAAACATTCAGCCCGAGCCCAAGGAGCGGGAGGTAAAGCCCGTGCAGTAGAATTTGCGGTCACGATGCGCTGAAGCTGATCCTGAGACGAGCGGGCTCCGAGGTTCCTATGGAAGAGGTCGAGGCGGGGCGCGCGGCAATATCAGCGGTTGAATTCCGGGCCTAGGGCTGGGCTGTTCCACCGGGGGCCCACAAGCATTGCGATGGGGCCTTTCGGCGCGATAGCCATTTGAGTCGAGGCAGCAAGGACTCTAGCGGCCAGTTATGTTCTCAGAAACTCCATAGCTGACGGCGATGCAGACTGCTCTCCATCGGGCCCGCGCCCCGACGCGCCAGGGATGGGTTCGTCTTGCTGCAAGCTTGGTGCTCTTGGCGTCTGCGCGGCTGCTTGCGGGCATCCTCTGCAGCCTGCGCGGGGGAGTGCGACGCGGGTGGAACAGCGGCAAGGACGAGGGGAAGCGCTGGGCTTCGCGAGCAAACTGACGGGGGCGGCAGCAGGGTCCAAGCGGCAGGCGAGGGCTACAAGTCAGAGGAGGCCGGCGCACTATCCCGGATGGCAGAAGGCAGATTGTCCGTGCGCGGCCGACGGGGGGAATGCGTAGGGCAAGTTCAGGGTGGCTCAGAGATGCGCGGCGGCGGGCGACAGCAGGGGGGCCGCGGGAAGTTCTACCGCAGGTGCGAGACGCATGTGTGCAAATTCCATCAGTGCAAGGTATTCCACCTTTCCGTCGGCGCTGGCGGTTGCTTATCTGAGGCACGAGCTCAACCCGACGACGGGCCAGTTCGAGAAGAAGGTGGACAAGTGCGGCCATCCAGTCGGGAAGCTGAAGGGCATGGGAGGTGCGTCGGCGGCGACGTTGCGCGCGCAGCGCGGGGGCCGCTGGGGGAAGGGCCCGCGGGCCCGCGTGGTTCTGGCGAAGGAGAAGGCACAAACGACGCACCGGCTGACGATCGAGACGATGGAGGAGGTCTTCGTGGAGCTCAACCCCAGGTCGAGTCAGCCCAGGGACCAGAAGGCACTGGCGTCAGCAGCGAGTTCGTCTCAAGCCGGAGCTGCCAGGCTGGCGGTGGCGCCGGTTCCGGGCGCGCAGGCAGGAAATCCTGGAGTGCGAGGATTGCGGCTGGTGGTCATGCGAGGAAGAGCCGCGACTATTCCCACTCTGGGCGCTGGGAAACTGAAGACGAAGAGTCGCCTCGGCCACTCTAACAGTTACCATCTCCCCAGAGACGGAGCAGTCATGAGCAGCGCTGAGCGGCAGTTGGCCTCCGCCAAGAAGCCGCAGCACGACCCAGTCGCCACCGCCGGGCCCCGGCGGTGGAAACTGCAGGACCGGGTCTTCGTGAAGCAGGGCGAGGTCATTCCCAACTCGATGAATGGCCAGGTGATCCCGCTGAATTGGGAGCCAGAGGACAACTCCACATGATTGGACGAGGAGAAGCACGACGTGCCACATAAGGCGCTGAGCGAACTGAGGAAGACACAGGACCTCTCGGCGGCAGAGGTGTATTCCACGCCCAGGGCCTCGGAGGCTTTGAGGAAGAATCACCGTGGAGGCGGAGTGGCCTGCGACCTCAAGCTGGGCTGGGGTTTCGACTGGGCCCAGGATCGCGCTTCCTGCCTTGCAGACGCACGCGCGCGAGGTCCTTTTCGTTCCCAGCGCCGCGTGGTGACAGGAGATCGCCAGCTGCGGAGAAGCGCGAGCGCCTCGGATCGACGCCGTCGCGTCGAGCTACGGGGATATTCATGCGAGGCGCCATCAGAAGTCTACTCTCCCCGCAGCCGACCCCCCCCCCCCCCCCCCCATTACCTCTCGCGTTTTCGGTTCGCCTGCGATTCGCGACTGAGCATGTTTGGACATGCGTCAATGGATCAATCCAGAAGCATTTCGATTTCTTCATTGTCCCGTCTGCGTGGGAGCCGCGTGCGAAGATGCAGGGCGGCTTCTAAGATGGACGCTGGATCAGACCACCAGCCGCTCAGGATGCGCACGTTTCTCTGCGCAAAGATAGAGAGGAAAACCCGCGCTGCAAACAAGTCTCGGGGGCCAGACGTAGACGCGGACAGCTGCGAAAAGTGCGTGGATCGCCCACTGCAGGAGCAGCCTGCCGCCGGCGAGGGCCTGTCCGAAGTAGCGGCCTGGATCGAGAATGCGATGGTGGAGGGCTCGGCTTTAACGCGCCCGCGAGTCCGGAGGAAGTCGGAACGAGCCCCGGCGGCCCGGAGGACACCGAAATACGTCGCCTGTTCGAGGAAAGGCGCCAACTCAGGCGATATGCAACCGGCGCGAAGAAAGTCATTGAGTCACAAAATCAGACGCTTGATTCTGAGAAAAAGGGTGAACCAGAAAGCAGCGAGGATCGAACAGTCATGGGCGATTCAAAGATTCGAGCACGATTGCAAACGCTGGGGCGGCGGCAAGAAGAGAGCACATAGCGCAGGTCGTCGATGTTTCTGGCAACGTCAAGGATTCGAAGGAAGACGCGGCCGAAGTGTTCGCCCCGTTCTACGAGACGCCCTACGCGAGCACCGGGGAACAGAGGCCTTCCAGGAAGGCTGCGGGAGGCGCACCCCCGGATTTCACGATGCTCGAGTCGGCGGATGCCATCCGATCCATGAAGGACGGGAAGTGCAAGGATTCCGCTGGCGTCGTCGCAGAGATGCTGAAGCACAGTGGCCGTAAATTGCGTGAAGGCATCCTCCCGTTGTTCAATGCAGTGCTACACCCGGACAAAGAGCCGCCAGAATCGCGGAGACCCACTAGATTGGTTCTATTGTTTAAAAATCGGGACCCTGCGCTACCGAAAAATTTCAGCCCGATTGCAATACTCAAGATTCTGTATAAGCTTTTTGCCAGGATGGTTTGCAATCGCCTTCAGGGGGGCCATCACATCGCAGCAAGCGCAAGATCAGGCAGCTTATTGACCGGGCTTCTCGACCGAAGACCATCTGCTCGCCGTGACCCTACTTGTCGAAAAATGCAGCGAGTGGAATCAGGCATTGTGGCTCGTGCTGGTCGACTTCGAGAAGGCCTTCGACGCGGTCGAGCGCGAGGCTTTGCGGGGTGTTCTGCGCGAGTTCGGGATCGATGACTCAAACATTGAGCTGCTTCGGACACGGGGCAGACTGTTTCAAGTATCGCTGGAACTGAATCCCGCTCATTCAGCTTGGCAAGGGGAGTGAAGCAAAGAGATCCAGTCAGCGCTCGGCTGTTCATTGCAGTTATGGAATCATTTTTAATATGATGGAAGACAAAATGGCATGGGCTCAACCGGAGACGTGGTAGACAATACTTTGGTTTCGTGATAGATGACCAGGGCGATCCGATTTCAAATCTACGCTACGCAGATGGCGTCTTATTCTTCTCGCAGACCAGACAGGACGCAGCGAACATGTTAGACCACCTCCACACCGCCGCGGCCAGATACGGGCTTCGAATCAACTTCGACAAAACGAAGGTTCTCACCAATGTGCAGAGCGACGCTGACGATTCCATGGTCGTCGGAGGCTTCCAGGTAGAGATAATTCCACCGGGAGTGTCAGAGAAGTATTTGGGCCGCGTGATTAATTTGGAGGATTATCTCGGCGCGGAGATTTCAAATCGCATTCCCACAGCTTGGAGACATTTGCAAAGTTTCGACACGACTTATGTTCATTGGAATATCCACTATCAGCGAACTTGAAGCTGTTTGATTAGGTAGTCACTTTGACGGTTTTATATGGGTGCTCGTGCTGGACGACGAAGGTGGAGCACTGCCTGGGGCTCACGAGGGCTCGGCGCAAGATGCTGCGAAAAATATCCCAGATCCCCGTCAGACACGACCACGCGTCTATGCGAACAAAAGGCCCGTGAACGAGGATTACGTGACTGGGTCGAGACGCAGAAAACACGGAAGTTGCAGTTCGCCTTCAAGACAGGCACATGCATGACAGGAAAATCGAACAATAGGCTGTTGGATTGGACCCCATGGTTCCGGACACGCCCAGGCAGGTGCCCTGCAAGCGATGGTCGGATGATCTCTGACGCGCATGAATCCGCAGGGCCCCACTCCAGACCCCGCTCCGGCCTCCGCCCGCGCAGGGCCTCATGCCTCGGGGGCGTTCGGGTCTGCGCCCGTCTGCGCCCGCCCTCTCCTCCTTCCATCCTTCTTCCTCTCCCCCCCCGTGGTCGCAGACCCCTGCGTTCCTTGCGCGCGGCCCTGTTGCGGGGGTGGCGCCCCTGAAGCCTGTCTCACCAGCGCGACAGTAGAAGCCGCCGGGCTCTTGACTTATGGATTCTCACACTGGCTCTGTCTACGCGGTGCTAGTCTCACTCGGTCTGCCCAGGCGCGCCTCAGCGCGCCGTCAGGGGCCCAGCCCGCTGGCCGGTCAGCAGACCGTTCGCTGTCGCTGTCGCTGCGATTCGCGACTGGGCGGCGACCCATCTCGCGAGTTCGTTGCTGCGCGCGAATTTGTTTCCCAACGCGCGCGCGCTGGAGTGCCAGGCCGTCAGCGCATCCGAACCTCGATTGCAACGACGACGCGCCCGTTGCGGTGGATCTTCGGCAAGTCCAGATTCAAGAGGTGGGCGTCGCCATGTCGAAGTACTATTGCTGATGAGCGCGCCGTCAGTTGACGTCGCCCAGCAGAGAGCGAGACTCGCGCGCCTTCGATGCGCATCGCTGCGTGGACCTGTGGAGTTGAACGCCCCGTTGCACGTTCAGGTGAAGAGCGAGGGGCCCGCGTTGGCGAGGTCGACCCTTGCCGAGCTTGCCCTCCTGCGCGAGCGAGCATTTCGAAACTCGAAAGCGCCCCTTCCCGAGCCGACGGAGGACCTTCAGGCCTGGGGCAGGTTGATACTTGGAGCGGGCCCTCCGTGGACATCCAGAAACTCTTCCCCGATCAGGCTTGCCTGCGGGGCTTTTCTTGGTTATGAAGAACGGTGCCTCGGGGGAGCGCGTTGCCCGTTCCCCGGAGACCCATCGGCCCCCTCGGGCTCCTCGGGCCCCCCGCCCCCGGCGCCTCCTAGTTGGTTGGAGATTCGTCGGGCCCCATCGGGCACCTCGGGCCGTCGGGTTCTTCGGGTTCTGCGGGCCCCGCGGGTTCCCTGGGCAATGGGCGATGCTGGGCAGTGCCAGGCATTGCGCCCATGCAATAAGCACCTTTCCTTGAATTGGGGTCACGCAGGTTAGTTGCACAGCGATTCGGCGGTCGATTTGGCGCGCGTCGATTCCCCGCCTCCCACGCGCCCTCATGTGCGTGTGTGTGCGTGTGTGTGTGTGTGGGTGTGTGTGTGTGTGTCTGTGTGTATGTGTGTGTGGTAGGGGGTGTGTTGTGGTGTGTGTGTGTGTGCTTGTGTGTGTGTGTGTGTGAGAGTGTGTGTGTGAGAGTGTGTGTGTGTGTGTGTGTGTGTTTGTGTGCGTGTGCGCGTGTGTGTGCGTGTGCGTGTGTGTGTGATTGTGTGTGTGGGTGTTTGCGCGCGCGTGTGCGCATGCGCGTGTGCGTGCGCGCGTGCGTGTGAGTGTGTGTGGGC